AAAAAAAAAAAAAACCAAAAAACAAAACAAAAAAAAAACAAGGGTGCTCAGCTTTTTGTGAGGCAGTGTGAATAACAGATTTAGGGAGAATTTACAGGAAATTCAAAAGTAATTATTGGCAAGTCATTACAGCAGGAAGACTTCCAGAATTGCTTCAGAAAGTGACAAGAACTATGGGACCAGTGTATTCAAAGTGAGGGAGGTATTTTGAGGGGGATTCATGGCAGTGTATCTTTTACTATAATAAATTTTTAGAAGTTTTGACATTCACTGTATTTTTTGATCACACCATGTAAGTGTAAAATGCTCTGTAAGAGGAAGAGGAGAAAGAAATAAAACAAGGTACTCCAGGCAAGCAGTACAGGTTCATCCCCTGACCTTCAGAGTTCAGTAAAGCTCACTTGGAGAGACAGCAGGCATTTGAAGGAGCTTCACTTCACCCTGTGTCCTGAATGTGAGACAAGCATTCCCCTCAAGTTATTTCTGAATCATAACTCTGCCTCTCAGATTAGAAGTACTCTCCAATTTCTTACTTTTCATTATCTATATTTAGAAAAGAGAAAAATATGATTATGTATGCATGTTTGCTATAATGTACATAAATAAAGTAACAAAATAAACATAATTCAGCAAGACAGATGAAGAAATTATTTTTGTGTAACCAGGCTTCTCTAAAACATTGGTATCAGTAAGATGTTTTCGCTGATGTTGACTAGGTACAAATTTCACATGTATGAATGTTTTTCATCTTCCAAACCTGGTACAGAATTTATTTTCCTTATAGACTCTGGTCCTTATTAACTTCAACCCAATCACTAATTCCCTTCATTTGACACTGGTACTTTTAGTTTTTCTGAACACTAAACACACACACACACACACACACACACACACAATTTTACAAATGTTCTAAGATCTTTTCATTGAAATCTTCTAAATCAGAGTTTCTCAAATCTTTATGTGCAATGAATCATCTAGGAATCCTGTTCAAAGGGGAGTTTTAGTTGGGACTGGATGGGCCTTAGATCCTGTGTTGTCAGCCAGCTCTTGGTGAAGCAGTGTTCTGGCCATGCTCTGGAGGCAGAGCTCTTGCCACAAGGAAGACACCATCCTGTTCAGCACATACGAGGATGCAATATGTGTCATCAACTCCTTTTTCTCTAAAGTGAAGTTTGAACCAGCATCACAAGCCTCTCCAAGAGTAGTTTGAAGGTGGAGTCATGGGCCTTGTTCTAGACTTACTGACTCAGGATCCAGATGCTCACCAGCTAGTGGGGTGATGGACACTTATTGTCATTGAATGCACATTCAATTTGAGAAGTTCTGTACTGGGTGATCCTATTGTCCTAGCAGGACTGCATTCACCTGTTTACCAATTAGGTAAAAGTTAACAAACAGACACTATGTCTTCCTGAGTGACTCAGCAGACAGCAGCACTGCTGAGGGTCAGGGAAGCAAGGTGTGCAAAATTGCCAGGGTCTAAGAGGAGGAAGGACACGTGGGCTAATGAAAGGATATCCGTGCCACTCAGACATCTCCAGAGGCTCTAGAAAATACCAGATTGTGGTAGGACTTCAGAACTGCAGAAGAAGAAACAGTGGAAGATGAATTGAGCTCTGGTAATCTGCTATGCTGGGAGGGTAAGATGGAAATTAATCGAAATGTGGTTACTGTGGTATGTGGGAGGAAATAATGCTGGGAGAGGGCCAATGGATTGGGTGACTTGAAGCAAATTAGGCTTTAATGGGGAAAAGAGGAAAGGCAAGAGAGGTGGAGAGGAAAGAATTTTGTTTTTTTTTTTTTTTTGGTTTTTCTCCGGTACCGGGAACCGAACTCATGACCTTGCGCATGCCAGGCAGGCGCTTTTGCCGCTGAGCTAAAGCCCCAGCCCCTAGGAATTTTGTAAACAATTAAAAACTCCAAGGTAGAACATGGTCAGAGACTGTGGATAAGGAATCTGAGGTTTGGAAGGCGGGTTACTTGCCCAGGATCACACAACTACTAAATGGTAGAGCTGAGATATAAACCCAGGGTTTCATGGTAAGAATCTGTGCTCCTAACTACCCCCAATCCTGACTGTGATGAGGAAGTTGAAAGGTGTCCACACAAGAGTATTACAGAGAAAGGCTCATACCGAGGAGAGGCTGAGGAACTTGGCAGTTGTCCGTTAAACATTGAACTCAGTTTGAATCTTCCTGGAACACACTCATTATACCTGACTCTGAAAATGACTCTATTAGCTGCTGATTTAAGTCTAAACCCTTTTCCTGGGTAGGGAATCATTAGTAAGTATCATCAGCACTTGAAGTTCTCTTCCCCTTCCAGGCACAAGGGAAAGACCATCCATTCTGTCCCTCAGAGTCAGGTAACTGATATATTTGATTTGGGTACATGAGATGTGAGCCAAAGGGACCTGTCACTTTCCTGTTGATATATTCAAGGGCCCTCCATGGGGCAAGTCCTTCGTGGACTATGCAGGGTTCTGGAAGACCCTTATAGAGGTGGCTGCATCACAGAATGGGTATAGTCTGGTCCAAGTATCTTCCAGTATGCAGACTTCCACCCCATCCTACCCTAAGACCTGTACCATATATGTAATATGAACAAAGAAGCTACTGTGTTGTTTAATGCCATTGAGATCTTCAGGTTGTCTTTATCGGGGCACACCCCTCAACTACATGGACTAATTCACCTAGCTGTTCAGAGCTCTTCTAATCTATTGTCTCCCCTCAAATACCCTCACTGTATTTTTTATTTCTCCTTAGTATCCCTCCTGTCTCCTGATCTTATGGTCTTCATTGCCTGTTTGCAGGGCTGATTCCCAGCTTTGTGCCTGGCTGGTTTTCAAAACTACCACCCACATTCTGATACCCTTGTCAGCCATGGAGCACCATAACTCCACCAACTTTCATGGACAAGATCCAATCTTAGCTCCTCCCAAACTTTTCCCACTCACTCTGATCCTTTCTTCCAATTCTTGGAAACCCTCATCAAATACATCACAGAAGGTAATACTTCGGCATACATTTTGTTCAAAGGAAGTTAGGAGAATAGTTCTGCTGGTTTGTTCAAGAATGCCAACAGAATCCTGACATTTACCTTCTAAAACATTCTGAGAAAAAATAAGCAAAACAAAAACAAAAGAGCCCTACTGAGATGTTTCTTATAGGCTAAGTAAGGCACAAATGAGACATGCTCTTCTGGTTGCTGGGTCTCCCAAACAGAAAGAGCAAGATAGAATTTCTGAGAAAGACATAAAACAGTCAGTGCAACTGGACATATGAGAGGACCTGCTGGATGGAAATCAATCCTGCTCCAGCTGGCAAGTTAAGGCTGGGAAATGACCAAAGTCCATAAATGTTGAGGTATGTGTTTGAGAGCAGGAGGGCAGTTAAGGCTCAATGACCAGTGACGGAATGTGGCAACAAGCATGACACTGAGGACAAGTATGAGCTTGCTTTACCCAGGTAGCAGTTTAAGCAAAGGAAGATAATGGCAGTGTTTCCCACCCACAATACAATTTCAAGGCAGCTTCATCTCTTGAGGGTCATTATTGGGAAGGAGAACCGCATCCAGTGTGTCCTCTGGTAATAACAGAAAGAATTTTGAATGGTAATTAGATACAGCGAGATAAATTTTATATTCTTAAGATAAGTCAGCCTCCGTGTGACAGTCTACTAATTGACTGCAGGCTGAATCAGCCACCTGTCTTGAGACCCCAGGTTTTCAACATAGTTATCTGATTGTGAACAAGTCCCTGACCACCTTGGGGCTCTGGTTCCATCCAGGCTACCGGCTTCTTAGGCTGCTGTGAAGGTGAGGTTAAGGAAAGCACTGGAGGACTGAGCCCCACCTGGGCACAGGTACAGGCACAGGTGAGCTCAGGGTTAGTCACAGCCACTTCCATCTCTGCTGTTAATCTGTGTGTTACTGCCACTTCCAAAGAAAATAAATTCTGTTTCACTGCTGAATAGAATGAATACCAGATAAAAATCAATCTTATAATTCATATTTCTTGACCTAAAGTGTTCTTTTGACATGTTAGAAGTTCCTTTTTTATTAAAAAAGTTTCATCATAATCAAATAATATTTGCACATGCAGATAAAATGTGCATATATTAATAAAATTAACTTCTGAAGGGTTTTTAATTAAGTTGTAGAATTGAGGTATTTTAAACTAAATAATATTATTAGCTCACCAAGGTAAATTTTACACTGAAGGAACACAGCAAAGATTTGTTTGATTATCTAGAGAATTTCAGACAAAAAATTCACTTGTACTTTAATCAACTAGCTTGGCAGCCCTGATGGTTCTGGATATGGTAGATAATGACTATAATTTATGTTGGCTAAGAATTCTATTAATTTTCCTATACCTTTTTGGAAGTTATATCATTAATTGTTATTAATGTTTCCTAATCAAGACAGAGCCAGTCACTGAAACAATTAACCTGCTTCTGAAGGTACAAACAGAAAGATAATTCATCAATTTCCTAATGTTTTTCCTCTGTTGCAACACCAGCCTGGCTTTTCTCACTAAATACTCTTCTCACTAAGGACCCACAGCAGCTGCTGTCAGCAATCAAGAAAAAACAAAGAATGTGTTCATTTATAAAGGTCATTCCTGTACTTCTGTGGTAAAGAACAATCATTTGTTAACTTAGGAAGGTACCTCAGTCATGACCACAATTTCCACTATCTAAAGGCAATAAATGAGCTAGATTTCTGCAAAGAAATATTCTTCAAAATCCAATTTATTTATGAAATTAGAGGGTATTGTTTCTACCACACAGCAATGTTCTTTACAGTGACTAAAGTGTGTCCATATGAATAAGTTGGGCGAGGAGAGCAGAAGAAGACAAAGCAGGCACGTTCTTTTTGATAACTGGTGTCAGCTGCACTGGGTCTTCAGCCATGGTAAATCAAACATCCCCTGAAACAACAGTACCGCAGGAGGATCACAGGCTCAGGGCCCAGGAACCCTGGAGTTCAAGTTCTCTGCTGCTCACCAGCTTCCCTTTACTTCCTGAGAAACAGGTATTGCATTTGTCATGAGATTGTTGCCAGGAATAAATAGCATACAACGTAGCATATAACACTGCATCTAGCACACAGTAGGTGCTCAATACCTAGCCTAAAACAGGAGACAAAATAAAGAACTCACCACTTGTTAAGTGAAAAAGAATTCTATTTCAAAAGTCATGTCATTGCTTTGGAACGTTATGCATTTTTAAAAGGATTCTCAAATACCAACATGTCCAGAACCTTTTTACACTTAATGTGATGTCAGACCTGGTTCAGTAAGATCTCACAAGCAATATCCGAGCCAGAGCGGGGGAAAAGTGCCAGCTTCTACCTGCCCATCACATGAAATGTGAACCAAGGAGACCCATTGGGGGATGGATCAGGAATGAGTCTGGGCCCCAAGTCCAGTACTAAATATACGGAGGGGCCCCAAGTTAGGCGCTGGGATCACCAGGCTGTAGGCAAACTTTTATTTAAATTGAGGTCCTTAAAAATCCTGCTGGAAATTTGGCTTCTGTCTCCCCTCTGTGCTAAATGAAAAGGATTATGGTTCCTGTTTTACAGATAAGAGCAGTGACACACAGAGAAGCCATGCAATTTGGCCAAGGTCACACGTTTCCTAAGTGGTTGAGACAGAACATAAATCTAGACTACAAGACACCAGAGCCCATGTTCCCCACAGAGCTTTGCTTGGGTGTCACAGCCTTAGCTGTAAGGGGAGAATCTGAAATTAAGATGTTTAATGTCATTTCCCTCAACCAACTCCACAGAAAACTAGGACAAGAGAGAAACAAATTTAACATCCCATAGACATACATAACATAGTGTTTGTTGAGTCGGACATCATGCTACACGAATATCATATGTTCACTGTTCACACAGCCCTAGTGAACCTCATCACCCCTGCCTGAGAGAATGAATGAACTCACTGGGCATGCTCTAGGGTAAGAGGAACCATCAATCTGTCTGCTCAGCTTCAAAGCCTCTGATCTTCCCACCATGGCCCAAGGGCCTGAGGACTCCATCAGTGCTTATTTAACAGGTGCTCATTCCAGCACTAGAAGGTTAGAAAAGATGGCTTTAGACCCCGCACAGGGGCGATGACCCTGCAAAGAACTCCTTATAGGTGCTATTCTTCCCTACCACTGCCATAACTGCCTCAGGCCTTCTCTGTACAGGATGTGAAAAGGGGTAACAAGTTTGTACAGCTTCTTGTAAAAATCTTGTGGAAATATAAAGTATTGTGGGAGACACCATTGCTAAGAAACTGTTTCCCATTCATCCACAGGGAAAAGGTGGGGCAAGGATGGCATTCAGGAAATCACTGGAGCCTGTCTACCCCACGTAGGGAAGGTTGCCCAGTTTAGAGCACCCATGGCATCTTTCTGCAGCACAGACAAGCATTTCCTCCAGGTTGCTCCAAACTTTACAACAACCCCATCCATAGCACTTCTGCAGCAGGAGAGAGGAGACAGGAGGGGCCCACAAGCCTGAAGGACTTCCCCCACCCTGCGGAGTCCTAGTGGTCCTTCTGAGCAGACAGGCCAATGAGAAGGCATTGCCTCAGCAAAGGTGACTCTATACCTTCCCTTCTTCATTGTACTGCTTCTGGGTTAAAACTGTTCCCTTTGAAGAGGCAATTAACAGTGATGGTTTCTCCTGATGATAGTGGCAATGCCAACCCTCTTGCTAGTAGCAACTTGGGTAAGGAACCTGAGCAAAAGACCATGTAGTACACATATCAAAATGTAATTTCTAGAAAGTGCCTCTTTCCTTCAGCCAACTCAGAGGACAGAGATTTCCACTCAGTTTCTGCTCTTTGCCTTTTCTTATTTTTTAATGCCAGTTATGTTAATATAGGGTAAAATGTTCTCAAGTTACCAAAGGTTCTTTCTGGGAAATGGGTTCTGCATTCCTCCCTGCTTGGTTGCTCTTATAATCCCTGGCAAAGGGAACCAGGGGCTTTAATCCTACACTGGGCTGTGGAAAGGGCTTGGAGCCCACAGGCTGCCGCGCATTGCCCAGAGTGGGCCACCTCGGTTTGCTTTCTTGTACGCTCAGGATAAGCAGACAGGCTCTAAGCCACAACAGGACTGGGGAAAAAAAGGAAAGTGAGCTGACAAAATCAATCGTCAAGGGTCAAATTAAGAGGCTGGATCTAACGGGTTGCAGAGCACTTGAGAGACTCTAGCTGACGTCCTCACATCACCAGCCAGGGGAAAATTACAGTGACCATAATTAGGAGTGAGAATCCAAGACTTCAAGTACCAGACAAGTGGGTTATTTACTGTGAAGGTTGGCCCCAGCAACTCTGTCACACACATACACAGGGAACAGGAAAAACAAACATTTTAAGTGGGAAAATTACGACAGATAGGAGGAGGGTAATGGGTGAAGGAATTCATTATTATCTTTAGTGCCACTTCGTAAACTTGAAAATTAACATGCCAAAGCTCTGAGGGATGGTTTGGGGAAAGCTACAAACTAATCAGTGCTCTGAAGGCGTCGTGGCCTAAAGAAAAGGGCGACTTCTCCTTGCTTGTCTTTCAGGCAGCCTGGAGAAATGTCCCAAACACCATTTTTATCAGTAACAAATCACAATGTACAAACCCCAAGAGGAATCAGCTTTTATCCTGTGCTTGTCTGACAGTGAATTTAAACTTGGTCAGGACTGGAATCCTTCTGGAGTCTGTACCTATCACAGCTACACGCTTGCCTTAGGTCCTAGCCACATCACTGTGAACAGGGATGGTCACCTCTGTCCACTGACATACCCAGTGTCACCCTCTGCCCAAGTCAAACACAATCTGAATCTCTTCCAAGAAGTACTTAGGCAGCTGGCCTAGAATCTTAGCATCTGTGAATCTCTCTCTTCCCATGTTCCTTATATTCACCTGGTCACCAAGTTGTTGTTTTACTGTACCTCAGAAAAACGAGGGAGTCTGATTTTTCTCTGTGTCTCCAACATCACCCTTGGCCACAGGCCCGGGCCCTGCCTGTAGGAATGCAATGATTCCAAATGGCAGTTCTCTGTGGTCACTGTCTGAGCCTAGAAAGACCAAGACAAATTCATTTTAAAAAATCAAATGTTTGCTTCTGGGAGTTCTAAACTCACTTGTTTTGTACTTCTTAAGTAGGAATATCCAAAGGTAAAAATAGGGAAATATCTGTATTTATACTGAAATCAGGGTCTCTGCCATCCACAGGGAACTTTCATGAGACAATGTGAGTGGCCCTGTCTGAGGGAAAGGCTTATGATCAGAAATTCTCCACCTACTAGAGAAAGTTTGCCTGGAGAATTGGTCCAAAGGCTAAACTGCAAAAGTCAGGTGCCAGGGATTAGGTGGAGTAGTGTGCTGTGGGGTTGACTGGTGAGATGGGTAAACCCTTGGGCACCTGGGAAAGTGGCTGATGTGGCCTAAAGAGACTAAGCACATACAGACACCTGGCTTAAACTTGCTATGGACAGAAACCCTATCATGAGCAGATGAGCAGTGTTCCCCAACACAAGAGGACACAGGCTTCTGTCCTCCCTCGCCCAGTTTCCCACTCAGCACATCAGGAGTGGCCACTGAGAAAATGCATCTCAGCCTCAGGTGGAGCCCACATGTCCTGAAGAGGATTTCCTGAACACAGTGGATGCCAGTGAAAGAAGAACAATTTCAGGATTATCAAAACAAAAGTGAAAAGAATTTCTTTATCCTTCTATTTTCCCAATTACTCTGAGCCACGGTCTCCTGCTACAGCCTGCACCTTCATTAAAATAATTGCACAAAGTACAGGGACCCTAATCATAAGATCCAAAGTAAAAAAAATAAAGGCCATAAGAAGGGGATCAATTTAAGGGATATGAAGAAATATCCCTGATAAACAAGACATTTCAGGAAATTCCTAAAGTACCTTGATTCAGATGAATCAGAAAATCTGAATTGAATCAAACACTCCAGGGGAGTCAATAACATGCTGTAAACAGGAAAACAGAATAATCTGAGATCAGGAAAGACTATTTTCAGATGAGGATATAATTGGCAAGATTAAAAATGCAATTGAAGCCCTGAAGAACAGATTGAATAGTGCATAAAATCAAATCAGTGAATTTGGCTGGAAATTCATTTGACAGTTTTTCCTAGAATTCAGAGAAAATAGATCAAATGAGCTCTGAGACGGGGAACACAGACAAAATGGGAGATTGATCAAAGTGACCCAATATCAGATAATAAGAATTCCAGAATGTGAATACAAAATCTATGGGAAAAAAGTTAACAAAATTAACCATGTGGAGAAAAAGACATGTCTTCAAATAAAAAGGGCTTACTGAGCACTAGCAAAAGAGGAGCCATGACTGTCACATTGTGGTAAAATGTTGGAGCTTTGTGGAAAAATAAATAATACTTATAAGAATCCAGAGATAAACACAGTATTAACTTAAAAAAATGAAAACTGAAACTTTCTTTAGCTTTCTTCTTTACAAAATTAAATGTGAGAACCAGAATGAAATAACATCTGGACAGTCCTAACGGAATTAAAATTTGTCACCAAGACTAAATGTGTGGGTCACTGGACCTACTTCCTTCTCAAGGA